TCAATTATGTGGAAGGCTTTGGAAGTTGTTTTTTTTTCTTTTCCATCCAATGCATTTCTTTGTAATAAGCAGGAACAGTCAATCTACATTGTTTTAACCAGGTACCTACTTACTACATGCCAGCCACTGTCAATACATTGATGTTAAAGCTCAGGCTAAAGTAGAACGTGCTCAAAGTATGTTAGCTGGGTTACCTCAGGATGGAAATTATTTTCCTAAGTTATACCTCAACTTTTCTCACCTTAGTTCCTCGATTTGTTCAAAGATGCCAAGTTGGTTCATTTTGATCAAAGCAATACCATCAAGAAATATGTTTAAGAGGTCTTTTATCTTTTGAAATACATCATGTAATGGAAGAAAACCATGACTACTGGAATCAGAGAAATCTGAATTCAAATTCTATGTCTACAATTTAATAGCTATTTGGACCTTGGGCAAGTTATTGATCTTTTGTGAGCTTCCACAAATTCTCCTCTGTGCAATGATAATCCCAGAATCTCAAACTCAGAAGCTCAGTTTCACCCTCTTAACCTCTTACTGGGTTGTCAGAACAGTCATGATGCATTTTTGCAACGAAAACATAGAAAAAACACGTCATGACTTTTCTGACAACCCAATATATACCCACCCTATAAAATTAAACTAACTAGCTTATCTTTCAACACAGTAATGATACATGTATCACTTGTATCTCCAACAAATTAAAATTCAAAAATTTAGCATGTGAAATTTTAAAATAAATGAAAGTATGAAGTCTGACAATTAAGTTCACAAACGTGTTGCAATGATATTGCTAAACTTTTTGATATCAGAGTGATTATTCATTATGAATTTGTACCAACTGGACAAAGAGTTAACCAAGTTTACCATTTGGAAGTGCTGAAAATGCTGCATGAAAAAGTTAGATGACCTGGAATTTTTGCCAACAATTCATGGCTCTTGCATCATCACAACAATGCACCAGTTCACACACCACCGTCTGTGAGGGAGGTTTTAGCCAGTAAACAAATAACTGTATTGGAACACCCTCCATACTCACCTGATCTGACCCCCAATTACTTCTTTCTTTACCCGAAGATAAAGGAAATATTGAAATGAAGCCATTTTGATGACATTCAGGACATCAAGTTAATACAATGATAGATAGCTCTGATGGCCATTCCAGAAAGAGTTCCAAAATTGCTTTGAAGGGTGGACTAGGCACTGGTGTCAATGCATAGCTTCCCAAAGGGAGTACTTCAAAGGTGACTGTAGTGATATTCAGCAATGAGGTATGTAGCACTTTTTCGAGGATGAGTTCACAAACTTAATTGTCTATATAAACCATAAATTATTAAGGACTACATCTCCACCTTGTTTTTAATTGTTTGTCCCTTTATTTAAAATATTTATCCCAAACATATTTGGGGTTACTATATGGGACTTTTTTCTTTGGTAAAATCTGAGATAATCAGTTTAAAAAAGAAACTATTATAATGGGTTTTGAATCTTTGAATCAACTAGCTCAAACGTGTTATTCTACAGATGAAGGAAATGGGGCATAGAATAATATGTCTAATAAATAAAAACTATATTTTGAAATACTTCACAACATAGGAAATGTTCAATGCAGAATGCTGAATGAGAGAAAAAGGATTAAAGCAATCTATATACAATACAATCCTAAATGAAAAAAGTAAGTAAATACAAAAGAATGTGGGTTATACTTATTCTCTTTATACTATTCTGAATTTCATAATTTTTCTACATTAAACGTATTTCTTTTATAATAATACATGACATTCCAAATATTGCTTGTTTCTAATCAAATGGAATAAATATATCAAGAAGTTATAGAAAAAATATGGAGGCACCGAGGCTTAGTGACTTGCTGACAGTTCTACAGCTAATTTGAAACAAAGCCAAGACAAGAACCCAGGAATCCAATCAAGTGCTTTTTCTACTATACCTCATGACCTCTATGATACAAAACTAACATTTGTTCAATTCAATATCAACTTATTTTACCACTTTTTTGTCTCTTCAAATCTACTCACACAATTTTCTGATATCTCTGATACCTTTCTGTTTTCTGATACCTTGTCTCCCAAATGGCTAACTTGATCCTCTGCTTCATCTAGTCTGCTGGCTATTCCTTCTAGTGCAGTCTTCATTTCAGTTATTGTATTCCTCACTTCTGACTGGATCTTTTTAATGTTTTCTATGTGTTTTTCTTAATGCTTGCTATCTCTTTGTTAAACAGTGCTACAGATTACATTTTATAATACTATTATCAGATTAGATCAGAGATTAAATTTGAGAATTGACAGCCTGTGATAATCTTCCAGCCTCAAAAGATCAAGGGCATCTATGCTGCCATATTCTTATTTAGTACCCTACTACATAGTACATTGCCTGGAATACAGTAGGTGCTCAATAATTTTTTAAAATAAAACATAGTTTTTTTCGCCTGTTAGCACTATCAGACTCATATATGAGACCAAACAAAAACAGTGAAATACATAATTTCATATTTGGGGTCTCTAAGAATTTGTAATATAAACAAAGGATTCACCAAACAAATTAATGATTACAACAAATGTAAAGAGAACATTTACATTACTAAAATATTTCAAGCACTATACAAATTAATGGTAATTACAATATTTAGCTACTGAAATGGGCCTGTCTAACCTTTAGTCACCATTACTTTTTCTGCCTAGTTGGCATCATCAAATATACTAGAAAGCAAAAACTTACAGGTATCATTTACAAGGGGCACTGGACTAGGAGCTAGATCCTAGTCCAAGCTCTGCTAACAACCAGATATATAACCTTGGGCAACTTTTCTTCTTTGACTCTTAATTAACCTATTCAAAGAAAGAAAAAAGCTAAAGTACTACTCACCACGGACCTTTCCAGTTTTAATTTTTTAAAAAATGATTCTTGGGCCAGCCGAGTGACTCAGTCGGTTAAGAATGCGTGCTCTGAGCAACAAGGGCCCCAGTTCAATTCCCACATGGGCCAGTGAACTGCGCCTGAGCTGAGCTGCCAACAGGTGGCAGAATGGCTCAGCTGGTGAGAACACATGCTCCTAACAACAAGGTTGCCAGTTCGAGTCCCACATGGGATGGGGGGCTGTACCCCCCACCGCCATAATTAAGATTGAACATGGCACCTTGAGCTGAGTGGCCACGAGCTGCCAGATGGTGACTGGACTTGGAGCCGAGGTAGCTGCGCCCTCCACAACTAAGACTGAAGGACAACAACTTGGCTGTTCCCCTTCCCCAATTCCCCAACACTGTTCCCCTCTCTCAATTCCCCAATAAAATCTTAAAAAAATTGATATCTGGAATGTTATAGTTTGCTACGTTATGTGATAATCAAAAGCGTAGCACATTTTCTAAAAACATTTAAAGACTAGTAACATATATAACTTTTACCATCTTACATTAGGAACAGTAGGAGAAAACTGAAGAAGAAACGTGAGCATGCAATAATCATGCCTCCTTTGCCAGTTGGGCTGACATGAACCATACTGGATTTTACAATACAAACAAAAAAACCAAACCAGTATAAATATATATACACGTATTACTGAAATATACTTATCTATATTGGTATATGTGTGTGAACTTTAAAACTTGTTTTTAATTATAAAATCAATACTTGTTTATGAAAGAAATGCAAACAGTACACTAGGATACATGTGAAGCACAAAGTAAAAAGCCACCCACCCCTTTTCACCCTCCATAAGTAACCACTGTTAGCATTTTTCTTACGTAAAAAAAACAAAGACATTTTTCTTATGTATCCTTCAAGAAGTTACCTGAATATATTCAAATATACTTATGTGCCTGTGTGTCTATAAATCTTTTTAACCTAAATTGTTGCCACTTCTTGAATGATGGGGGAAAATGTCTCAAGCAGCAGCTTCATAAGCATGTTACATTCATTGAATGTAGTAGCAGAGTCATATGGTACAAAGTGGTACACGCTTCAGAAGTGTGCAGTGTACTGGATACATTTAATTTTCTTGCTTGGAGGCCACGTGGAGCAGTTAGTTGGGCAGAAAGAGCAGTGAGCAAGGAGCCAGACAACCTGGGTTCTAATTTAAGGTTCTAATTTAAGTAGTCCAGTAGCCTTAGTTAGACAAGCCATGAAATTGTCCTGTGCCTCAGTCTCTGCTTTTGTAAAATAGCAAGGTTGAACTAAGATCCCTTCCAACTCAAAAATGTTATAATTCTAAGATAGCGGTAACAGTGTTCTCTTGAACTGGTTGTAACAAATGTTAAGTATCAAAAATATAAAAGAGAGAGAGAAGAAACACTGTAGCAACCTCCAGTCTTACCAGAGTAAATTTCAAAGCCTCATTAACTACCAAGGTATAGTTCTGACAGAACTAGTGACATCACTATATTTTAAAGCAAAGTAGCATATTATTAAAATCAGGTAGGTTTTTACAAAGCTTGACCTTTTTCTTTTTTTGGAGGAGGGCCGTGGCTTAGGTTCAATCACCACTCTCCCTCCTCCCGAAACGAAAATCATTAAGTGTATTACGGAGTTAAAATAATGAAACTGAAAGTTCGATTGAATTTTGCTCTACTCACAGAAGATCTTGGGGCGGTGACTAAGACCAGCCAAGGTTAGAAAGAATTACTAGCTAATTTCCTCTTCCGGAAGCTCTTTGGCTCCCATTCTTTCTGCTTCACATGCCCTCACCACACGCCCATACATGCCACAGGCATCACAAGGGAGGGAAGTCCCTTGGATCATTAACAAAAAGTTCTTTGACTCGATTTACCTTAGGGGTTACGGGGTTCAAGTTGGTACCCACCCGCCCACGCCCTCCTTCTGCAGTCCCAGGAACCTGGGCGGGGATCCCTGGCAGACCACCCGCGCCGGGCAGGGGCGGCCTTCCCCCGTAACGCGGGGTCCGAGTGGGGGAGGGGAAGGGAGGGGAGGGGAGAAAAGAAAGAGGGAGGGGAAGGTAGGAGGAAGCCCAAGCGGGCAGTACCCACAGTGCCAGGAGAGCCCGCGGCGCCCTGCGCGGTCCTGAGGGAAGGGTTCAGGAGGAGGGGCAGCCCAAGCCCCAATCTGGAAATGCCAACTCCGCTCCGTGGCGCGGCCAGGCCTAAAAGGAAACGGAAGTCCCTTCTCCCTCACACGCGCCCACCA